CATCATTGATGATGTGTTGTATGTACCAGGTTTGAAGATAAACTTAATGAGTAATGGATATCTTTTGCAAAAAGGATTTGTCATGGAAATGAAAGAGAATGAATTGAGTGTATATGACAAAAATCATAAATTAATGGTTCATGCAAATCTTTCTGAAAACAGAATCATTCGTGTTGGTATGAATACACAAAGGTATAAATGCTTTGTCACTATAAATAATAGAGTGAGTGGTTATGGCATAATTGGTTCGACCATCTGAATTTTCAGCATTTGTACAAGCTTAGTCATAAAGAATCTAGTTACTTGGACTCCCCTCAATTGTGGTTCCAAAGGAAGTTTGTAGATAATGCATTCAATGCAAGTAGACCAAACCAAAGTTCAAAAAATTTGTGGCTGACAAAGCAATTAAGAAGCTTAATATGATGTACTTTGATATTTGCGGCCAACAGGTTGAAATATCTGGTGGAAATATATATATATATATATATATATATATATATATATATTGTTACTTCTGTAGATAATCTCACAAAGAAAATGTGGGTTTATTTGTGGATAAGGAAAAATGAATTGTTGTTTGTGTTTGTAAAATTTAAAAGAATGGTTGAAAAACAAAGTGGACGCAAGATAAAGGTGTTATCGTCTAATGGTAAAGGTAAATATGCCTTACCCGAATTTGGTGTCTTTTGTGAGAAAAAAGACATCATCCATGAGTTTACTCCACCATACACTCCTCAACACAACCGTACTGTTAAGCGTAGAAACTGAACTGTGCTGAATATGATCTGTTGCATGTTAAAAAACAAGTCTTTGCAAAGTTGTTTTTGGGGAGTAATTGTCACAATTGCACATGTGTTGAACAGGTCTCCCATCAAGCATTTGGAGATAATGACAACCTGAAGAGGCTTGGACATATGTCAACCCTGATGTATCACACCTTAGGATATTCGGGTCATTATGTTATAAACATGTGTCTAAGCAGCAGAGAAAGAAACTTGATGATAAAAGTACACCACAAATTCTTGTTGGTTATCATGTGACAGGTGGATACAAACTATTTGACCCCATCTCAAAACAGGTGTCAATTTGTAGGGATGACTTTGTTGATGAGTCAACTAGTTGGACATAGACAACTACTAAAGAGAATTCAAATGCTTCCAAAGTTTTATTTGAAGATGAGAATCCAATGAAATAGAACAAACTTGTTAATCATGGTACGAGAAGATCATCCAGAGTTACACAACTCTCATCTTATATTTGAAGTGTTTAATGACTCAGCTGTGTCAGTAAAGAGAAATCTAGTGCATTTTGCACTCATTGCAGAGTTTGAGCCAATCAAGTTCGAAGATGTAGCCAAAGAGGTTCATTGGTGGAAAGTTATATAAGAGGGGATTGATTCAATTAAAAGGAATCACACTTGGGAGCTTGTTAAATTGCCACCAGACAAGAAGCCAATCGCACTCAAGTGAGTTTATAAGATTAAAGTAAATCCAAAGGGTGAGGTTATAAAATATAAAGCAAGACTTGTAGCCAAAGACTTTTTGCATAAAGCTGGAATAGACTATGATGAAGTCTATGCGCCTGTTGCTAAGATCGAAACCATCATATTAGTGGTTGCTATTGCCACGAATGTTAACTGGTCCTTACACCAGTTAAATAAATATTAAATAAGCTTTTCTAAATGGCCCTCTTGAAGAAGAGGTTTATGTGCAACAACCTAGGGGGTTTGATCATAAGAGTCAAGGGCATAAAGTGTATAGGCTGAAAAAAAAGCCTTATATGGGCTAAGCAAGCACAAGAGCATGAAATAAGCAAATTGATGATTTTCTACACAATATTGACTTTGTTCAGTGTATGTCCCAATATGGAGTCTATGTAAAAGTCTGGGAGAACAACAATAAAGTTGAAAAAAATCATCATATGCTTGTATATTGATGATCTTTTTATCATTGACACCAATGAAGAGTTGATAGTTTGTTGCAAGAATAAACTTCTAAAGGAATTTTAGATGAGTGATGTGGAAAATCTGAGTTATTTCTTGGGTATTAAGTTCGACCAAACTTCATATGGGATGACTATGCATCAGACAGAGTATGCTCGTGATATACTAAAGAAATTTGGAATGCAACAAAGTAATCCTGCCAATACACCTGCAAAAGTAGGATTGAAACTTGATAAAAATCTTGATGAAGAGGGGGTTGATCCTATACAATAACGAAGCATTGCTGAAAGCCTGAGATATATGTATAACACTAGACCAAATTTGAATTTCAATGTTGATTTGAACCAAAAGTATCACACCTTATTGTGAAGCGTGTGCTTAGATACCTACATGGAACTGAAAATATGAGAATTTTAGTGTCAAAAGGGGATGATGTGTTGATGGGGTATTCTGATGTTGATTGGTGTGGTGACAAGAGTGATAGAAAGAGCATGACTGTGTACATGTTCTTCCTTAGAGAGACACCAATTTCTTGGAGCTCTACAAAGGAACCAGTGTGGCTCTCTCATCTTGTGAGTGTGAGTATATAACTGTTTGTAGCTTGTCAAACAATTTGGTTGAGTTTACTGATGAAGGAATTGAAAGTAAAACAAGCATGTAATTTGAAGATGTTGATTGATAATAAATCTGCAGTAGATCTTACCAAGCATCCAACCTCTCATGGTAGAAGCAAGCACATTGAGACCATATTTCACTCCATCCATGAGCAAGTTTCAAATGGAAACCTGGATGTTGATAATTGCAAGTTTGAGATACAACTTGCTGACATTTTGATAAAAATTTTGAAGTTTGAAATGTTCAAAAGCCTTAGGGAGCAAAGTGGTGTTATTGATGTATCATATTTGATTTGAGGAGGAGTGTTAATAAATAGTCAATTAAAAAAATTAGTTAATTTTGTTTATTTTGAAACTTTTTATATATATTGCTATATAGGTGCATATTCGTTTATAAAATATATAGTTGTTGAGATATTAAACAGATTAATACTACTCGTTGTCTTTGAATTACTTTTCTCTCTTCTCTATTTTCTTGTTTATGTGTGATATATCAATATACTATTACATTGAAATTAACAAAAGTAATACAAGACATATAAAATAAAAAATCTTTTTTATATAAAAAATATAAATTTTACTTTAAAATTTTCACAATTTTTTCTATATTAATATTTTTTTATCACATAAATACAGATATCACACAATTAAATGACATTAATAAAAAAAATATTACATTTGTTTATTAAAAAAATAAAGAAAAAAATACTGACTGAAAACATATTAATAATAATTGAATATTTTGTGGTTAACTAATATAATTCAACAGAGAATAAAAATCACATTCCATTGTACATTTTATCGTTAGTTTTTTTTAAATGTAATTTATTTAAAAACCAAATTATGTTTTAATAATAATATTAAAAATCTATTTAAAATAAATGACAAATATAAAATATTAAAAATTATTTTTTAATTATTTATTTATAGTAAAGATTAAAAATATATTTTTTAAAGACTATTAAACTAATTTCTCTATTTTTAATTATAAAAAAATGTTTTAATTTTCTTAACATGCTATTTTAAATAATCACCAAAATTTTATTTAAAATTAATGTTTATTGATTATATTTTATTTAATATAATATAATTTTATATATTTAATTTTTTATTTATTTTGAATAACAACTTAAAATCCATTTTAATATAATTTATATTAATTATATTTTATTTTAAGTATTTTTTTAGACAATAATAAAATTATAATCTTCCAATTTTATTTTGTAATGTATCAAATCAATTATATATTAGATACAAATTTTGACAGATTTTTCTTTCGTTTCTCATTTACTTCCTTTAATCCAAACAATTTTATTTTTATCATTATTTCTCCTTAAATTCACTTATTTTTATTTTTCTAAATCCATCTTAAAATTCAAACACAATATAAAAATGCTTTAATAAATTAAGAAAAAAAGACATATATAAATTTAATTTAAACTTATTTTAAAATATGCGAAAGATACGAATATATGTCAAAATAAAAATCTCAACTTATATCTAAATTAGTAAATTTGATAACATATTTAACTTTTATTAATAATCTAAATTATATAAAAGAATATATTAAAAATAAAATGCCTTATTATAGGAAGGTAAAATTATTGATGAATATGATTTCCTACTGTATAATATTTTGATGTAACAGGTAAAATTATTAATTGATATGGATATTATAAGATATCAAAGCCAAATTGTATTTATGATACGAAAGCCAAATCGCATGTTGTATTTTCATTATAAACTTGGAAGAAGCGAGTTTTGGATGCTTTGTTTTGCGTTTTGTTATTGTGTTGTTTTACCTTGTAGATGTGGTTGAAAAATTAAGTTGGTAAAATTTAATTTATTTCCTAAATTATTATTTTTTATGTAAAAAAACAATTATACATGTACTTCTTCTTTCTTCCTTCGATATGGTTAATGTAATATAATTTCTTCTCAGATAAAAAAATATAATTTGAATAATTAAATAAGTTTAATTTAAAAAAAAAAAGTGGTTCAAAAGTTTGGGTTTTAAAAAATTAGTCAAAAATTAAAATTAAATTAAAATAATAATACAATACAACTTATTTAAATAAATTTATTTTACAGAGCATTAAAATTTAGTCTACTTCAAGTCATTAAAGTTTGGATGAAAAAAAAAATGTTGAAAGGACTGTCTGTTTATCATTTATGTAGAATATGATAATATGATTAAATGATTTAATTAAGAAAAAAGAAAAAAGAAATATAAATACGCACTCTCTTTTATAATGACAGCATGATTCTTAGGAAACTTCGTGGAAGGTACCCAGAGTGAGGAATGGACCTCCCATGGCGCCCCCATTTAATCCCTCCACCTTCCTTCCTCTTTCCCCTCAACCCCCACCCACCATTTCTTTTCTCCTCCTCTTCCTTCACTTTCTCATTCTTCCTCCTCATCTTCTTCTTCATACCCCCGAATAATGAAGCTCATTAGCATCAACCCCAAGAACCTCAAACTCAGTCCCAAACACCTCTTTCGCTCCAAAAAGCACCGATCTTTATCCCGATCCGACCCACCTTCTTTCGGATCAGGATCCTCCTCCGATGAATCCATCCACAAGCCCGCCGCCCCCGGCGCCACCGGTTACCTCACCCCCACCAGCGTCCTCCCCGACGTCTCCGGCGACTGGTCCGATGATACAGTCGACGTCCGGTGGGACCTCGCCCAGGCCTTCCGCCTCATCGACCGCGACAACGACGGTATCGTTTCGCGCCAGGACCTCGAGGCCGTCCTCACGCGCCTCGGGGCGTCCGACGTCGCTCTCATGCTCAGCGAGGTCGATGGCGGCGCTGGCGGCTGTATAACGGTGGAGGCCCTCATGAACCACATCGGGTCGGGTCCAGAGTCCATGTCGGGTCCGGAAGAGCTCAAGGAGGCATTTGCGGTGTTTGACACGGATCGGGACGGGAGGATCTCGGCGGAGGAGCTGCTTCGAGTGTTCATGGCGATCGGCGACGAGCGATGCACGTTAGATGAGTGCCGGCGCATGATAGAGGGCGTGGACAGGAACGGGGACGGGTTCGTGTGCTTCGAGGACTTCTCTCGTATGATGGAGCTGCAGCGATGATGGTGTGGTTGTGATTGTGATGATGGACATGTCAGATGATGATCATGATCATGTTATAAAAAAAAAAAAAAAGTTTGAAAATATATATAAGAACGAAGGCAACTTCATTTTTTTAATCAGTCATTTGAGTCTGTTGTTGTTATTAATTTTATTATTTGGGTGTATAATTAATTTTGAAGGCCAAATGCCATTCCTCCACTAAAAAAAATGCTTTACTTAATTTTTTGTCTGTTAAGTCTTAAATATATTTATTTAAGATATCATTGTGATATAATTAATATAGGAGAAAATATTGATCATTAGTTGTGGAAAATAGTTTTACTCGTAATTGTGGGATATAACTTTGTTAACTTTATAATAACTGTTTTAAGAAATTATTTAACGGTAATTTATTTTGCAAGTTTGGTTTAACTTTTTAAATCATAACTTGTCTCAAACAATATTTTATAAACAGTTTTTAACTATACTGTACTTTTTCACATATTTCTTTTAAATTAATTTAGATCGTGATATTGTATTAAATAGATCACTCTTACATCATGTTATGAATATTAATAATAAGGTTAATTCACCGAGTTTCTTTAAAAGAGATAAAAATCTAACTTTTTGAGTTCCAAGAAATCTTCCAGATGAAAAAAAATCACATTTAGCATGCTCTCCTTCATATATCAAATCAAACTCTCACTACAATTATAACAAACCTTGACTTGTTATTGGATTACAAACAGAAAAAATTAAGTTTATGATAAAAAACATTATCACATAATTAGTTGATTTGTGCAAATATTATATAACTATTTTCGAAATAATTATAATTAATAAAATATATTTACTTATTCTTAAAATTATGATTTTTTATAATTTATCATTTCTAATAATTATGATTCTCAAATAATAATTACCTGCATGTTAGTTTTGTATGACGTGAGTATTGTTTGTTAATTTGATTTTTCTTTGATCAAAGTTTGTCTTTTCGAGAATTTAAAAATTTAGAAATTTTTTGAGATTTTTTAATGCAAGAAATTGAATCATGTGATTCAATGTGATATTTTTAGTATAATTGTGATTCAACGTCAGGTTAGTTGATGATTTTTTTATATGAATTTGAAAATTCTTGCGTTCTATTGTATTTAGATTGAATTGTGATAAATTTGATTTTCAATTTGAGTAGTGTTTAAATTTAATTTGATAAGAAATTTGAAAATAAGGTTTTTAATTTTAGAATGGTCATAAATTCATCAAGTAGATTTAATTTTGTTTAGCATATATAAAATAATATTAAAAACGATTAAATTCTACCCAGTTTGTTCAACATATGTCGGATAATATTGACATTTAATTATATGTAAATTTTACTCAAAAAAATTGAACAAAAATAAATAAATTAAAAATATCTTTATAATCTATACAATCGTTTAAATTTTGTTAATACCTCGATTTTCGTTCGTTTAATTATTCTATAAAACCGAAAGTTTTTTTTTCAAAGCTTTAAAAAAATTGTCTCTTTTAACTGAATAAATTTAAATGTTATATATCTTTACATTTGAAATATTAAGTTAAATGTTAAATTGATTAGACGATGTTTTAAAAATAATAATTATGTTAGAATGAGATGTTTGTATTATTAATATATACAAATTTGATGGTGCCATAGTATAAAAAATATCAAATAAATATTATCTTTTATATATATATATATATATATATATATATATATATATATATATATATATAAAGTTGTTTAAAATAATATATATATATATATATATATATATATATATATATCTCTTAATATTTAAAACAAACAAAAATATATATATATATATTTCTATAAGTTTCAAGTATGCTTTTATTAAAATTTAACACCTACATTATTTATTTTTATGTAAATATATAATCATCATAGTTAAAAAAAAACATAAACAATAAGATTAAGGTAAACTAATGATTTAAAATAGTATGCAAATAATGTTACGAGAACAACATATAAATATATTCTCACGTGTATTATCATTACACTCAAGTATATTATCATTACATAGTTTTACTTAAGTGTCAATATATTTTATTATGGTCATGCAAGTCTATTATCATATCACATACACATCACGACTTTCGAAAGACTTCAACATTGATTTAGACCCAAATATCTTCTCTTATCACACCACAAATTCTTCATGTGCATAATTCAATAATACTCTAATAGGTAAATTCCTATGAATGGTCATTCTTTTTTATATTGCATATTAAGTCATAGAAACATTTTTAAACATTTACCACTTGATCATTTCATATATGTGATTTCAATGACCAATAAAGTAAGAAAATATCATTGAATCTCAAACTTAATATATGTATAAGTCACATCATCACATATGAAATATCCCCTTGGTATTTTTCATACCATAACACACCATCATTATTGTCCATAATAACTGTTGAATAATAATCTAACAATTGCAATTAATGATTGTTTATGTTAGGATGTTACGCCTAAGTAACTTTTCTTTTTCAGTTATAAATATTGTATTTATATAGTATATGTAATGTGTGTGCATTGTGAATAATATACGTCGATTATTTTCACTTTTGTTATCACTTTTCCCTATATTATTTTCTCTCTCATTACTCTGTCCAAGTCCTTTTATGCTAATAGTAATATCAAGAGCTTCAAGACATGCAAAGAGAAGATTAATGGTGATGTTAGGAGCTAAGTTGCAAGGCAATATGTTAGTGCTAGATAATAAAAACTTGAGTAGTTATGATAGTTGGTGTGTGAAGATGAAGACTATCTTTGGATTCTAAGAAGTCTTGGATATTGTTCATTGGTACGATGAGTTACTAGAGAATCTCATCGATGCACAATGTGTTATGTTTTGCGCCGAGTTATGTACGAGTAGAAAGATTGAAGATGGAACGACTTCAAATCTTATGTCGTAAGTATGAGTTGTTGTAGATTAATACACAAGAAATCATTCAATAATACTTTACAATATTGCTCTCTCTAAAAAACTTGATGAAATCATGTAGTGAAAGTTTGAAAGAATGAGCGGAGGTGGAGAAGGTGTTATGAACCTTCGATGCAAGATAAGATATAATTTCTGTCGCAATCGAAAAATCCAAGAATTTGGATTTGCCAAAGTTTGAAAAGTTACATGGGTCGTTAGAGGCTTATGAACAACGTTTACGTGAAAAAATAGATGATAAATACAATTCAGAACAAAAGTTTATTAGCGAAGCAAAATTAGAAGAATAAGAGCAATCGAGGAGAATTTAACAAGAGAGGTTGTGGTAGAGCTTTCAAAGACATAAATAATGGAGGTTGAGGTTCAAAAAGACAATAAGAGAGTTTTTCACGATCAAGAGGTGACAGAGACAAAAATTCACAATGGAAAGGTTGTTAATATGGTTTTGACAATAGTAAAAACAATATATAATGTTATAATTGTTACAAATATGACCATTATGCAGTTGTTTGTTAGAGTAAAGGTTCAAACAATAATGAAGAAAAAGTAAATGTGGCATAAAAGGAAAACTTTGAGGATGAATTGTTATTAATGGTAACTACGACAAAATCAGAGAAAACATATGGAAAATCATAGTATTTGGATATATGTTATTTCAATCATATGTCATTTAAGAAGAGTTGGTTTGTCGAGATCAATGAAAAGATTAAATCAAATGTGAAGTTTGCCAATAATTACAGTAAATTGTGAAAGGAAAGGAAAGTTTTGTTAGAAGAAGAGATGAGAAATTTACATAATTTCATGTGTTATATGTTTCAGCCATGAAGTACAACCTATTGAGTATTGATCAACTTAAAAAAGGGCATTTAATCGATTAAAGATCAAATGAGCAAATGGTGAGAATTTTTTATAAAAATGGGACACTGATTCTAAACGCTCCTCTGAACAACAACATGACCTTTAGAGTCAGCATCAAATCATATGTGTTTTACTGGTGCAATTTCTGATGTTAATTAATTATGACATTTGAGGCATAATCATCTAAATTTCGATAGTCTGAATCAACTTACAAAGAAGGAGATGGTGATATGATTGACTTGAGCTGAGAAGTTTAAAGATATTTGTAAAAGTTTCATGTTAGGGAATTTAACAAGAAATCCCTTCAAAGTGCATATCGAAACCAAGAGTAAAAGAGTGTTAGAAATCATTTACACCGATGTGTGTGAACCTTTCGATGTGTCCTCACTTGGTGCAAACATATACTTTGTTACGTTCTTCGATGATTTTAGTAAGAAAATATGGTTATATTTTCTCAAGAAGAAATAAGAGGTTTTTAAATATTTTGTCGAATTTTAAAAGTTGGTCAAGAAACAAAGTAACAAAGTTATTAACGTTTTGAGATCGGATGGTGGTGGTGAGTATTATAATGATAAATTTGCATCATTCTGCAAGGAAAAATGTGTTCTACATAAAACTGTATCCCCATATACATGACAATACAATAGTGTTACTGAAAGAAGAAATTGAACGATTTTGAATATGGTCAGAAGTATGTTGAAGAACAAAAGTCTACCATAATCTTTTTGGGGTGTAACAACAACGACTACATTCTATGTCTTGAATTGATGTGCATCTAAGAGAGTTAAAGAGAAGACACATGAAAAAGTTTGGTCAGGGGAAAAGTCGAATGTAAAACATTTGAAGGTATTTGACTAGATTGCTTGGAGACATATTTCTTATGAGAGGAGGAGAAAGTTCGATGATAGAAGCGAGAAACTAATTTTGGTAGGTATTATTGATGAGAAAGCCAGCTCGGATTGGACTTCCATGGAGAAAAAAAATATATTAGTTTCGCTATTTCATGTGATGAAGAAATTGAAGGAAGAGATCCATCGATTCTAAAAATCGGCGAAAGGAGAAATCGATTGATTCGTGAAATTGATAAAAGGAGAAATTGACCAGCAAGATCGATAAAAACACCAACAAGACTCGATGACACTACTACAAAATATACTTTCTACGTCGTCATTTAAC